CAGGGTCCTCTCCAGTTCTGTGTGCAACACAACAGGCTGATGCTTGGGGATGGAAAACCTGCTCCATCACCAGCCATGCCTGGGAGCCAGCACAGCTTTGCTATCCCCAGCAAAATCACTTAATCTCTTGGTGTTTAGATTTTCCACCTGAAAAAATGGTAATAGCATCCATCTGTCTTTGTGCCACTTCCAAAAAAAAAAAAAAGGGAATACTGTTTAAATAGCAATGTAATGACCTATTGTTCTACTGTATTAAAATGGCAACTTTTTGAACTTTTGTTTTAAAAATCAACTTCAGAATAGAAAATGTGAAATAAGATTTGTAGGTCAGCTTAGCCTACAAAAAAGAGTTTTCTGTTCGTATTTGCACAAAGTATCATTAAATCTCACCTCTGGGTTTACCTGCTGAAGGCACAAGCTCAGCAGGAGCTCTGCAGTGCTGCAGCACTGTCCTTGTCCAGCCAAAACAGCAGCAGGGAGGAAAGGAGTAGCACAGAGCTTCAGATTTTTTGCATGCCTTAGCTACAGAGACAGATAAACTGACTTCTTCCCACGGGTTTCTGCTCCTCTGATGACTAGGCAGCCGCTGCAAGCACTGTGTGAGCAGAAGAAGGTGCAGTCTATACTCATGTCTGGAGCTTCACCACTGCCCCTCACATCCTTTGATTTATGTGCCATGGCACCTGCCCCACGCCACATCCAGCAGTTATAAGGCTGATTTGGAGGTGAGGGATAACAGAGGTTTTAAGGAGAGGTGGGGACGTTTTTATACAGTTGAGAACAGAACAGTCACTGCACATAAAAAGCCTACCACTGTAAACACGGGAAGCATAAAGCCAAATGCAAAGATGTAAAGAGGTATTGGTTGCATTATTTAGAATACAGCCTTGACTTTGTTATCTTATACTGGATGTGGCCCTCCTTACATCCATTACACTCAATTAGCACCTGGCTCTGGAGGGGTAAGTGCAGGTTATTGCCTCTCCCTGTGTCATATTGACTCTGGTTAAAGATGCACAAGTCCCATCTGTGTAACAGAGCTGAAGGGTCTGCTAAGAAGGGGCATTGTGACTTCTTGGACATCACCTTGCACACCCAAGCAGCCCGAGCACATGGTGGTGCATGACCCAACGCAGGGTGCTGTGTGGAGGGAGAAACACACTCAACTCTGGAGCATGGACACAACGAAGTAAATTCTGGGTAACCGAGGCCTGAATTTGTTCTTCCAGCGGACTGTGTTTGGATACAGTCCACACAAAGGGACAAACAGCAGGTTTGGCCTAGACTCACTTCCATCACAAACTGAAATACCAGAAACAAACCTGTTCAACAGACACTTTGGACTGCAGAGCACCCTGTTTAAATAAACAAATAAAAAAGATGCATCTTCACTTTCTACCCAAAGGCCTATTTCTGTGAGCAGAGTTAAAAATCCCACCCTGTGTCTGCTGCCATCAGGTGGTGGGTTTAATTCCAGTGAGGTAAGAAAAATATAAGACGTGTCAGCATAGATCTTATGGCCAAGTAACTTAAAGGGAGGCTTCTCTCTGAAAAAAGTGAAGGTCCTTACCTTGCTCCAAGCAAACTCAAGGCAGGAGGCCATACCTGTGGGTTCACTCCTCAGGAAACACTGCCAAAACACAGTGAGGTTTCCGTGATATGACCTGGCCATCAGATACTAACACAGAGCAAATACACCTAAAGCAATGAAGTCTGAGAACAGTACAGTTAATAGCAAAACTCTTTCAGGAAACAGGCACGAACAGGAATATTAAAATGCCATTTTTTATTATTTTTAATAAAAGAATCAAGTCTGCAGCACTTATTTTGGAAAAACAAACAAAAATCCCCCAAAACAACCCCCAAAACATTCCAAAGTAAGCACTGACAGTAAAACATGGGGCAACTGAAGATTTGCAAGCTCATGAAGCAGAGTTACAGTGAAATCTTGTCAAGTCATGAGAGGAGTCCCACCACCACCTGAGACTATCCAGACACATGTCTCCAAGAGGTTCTCATTTTGGTTTTGCAATCTGGGTACCGCTTGCTTTTATGCAAAGGTAGTTCAGGATGTATAGCCACAGGCTAAGTCTAATCAAGCATTTCCACAGAAAGCTGTTGATAAGGAGAGTCACCACTTCATTTTTCAGCACAACTCCATGGCTTTTATACAAGCAGAATATTTGACCAGTAAGAAATATTATTTTCAGGTTTACCTATTGCAAATACAGGTCATAAAAACCAAGAAGCAATTTATGATTCAAGTATTTAGATTCCCAAATGCAGTAAGCTGTATTCCCTTCTCTCTGAAGAAGTGAGCTAAGAAATAAAGTTCTTAGCTAGACAAAACTTGGTCCTATTGTCCTGAACAACCTCCTGCTTCCACACTTCTGTTCTTGTCCCTGGAGCAGAAACTCACTATCACCAGAGATGAAACTACAAACTGCCTTCTGAAATGAGAGTGCTGGAAAAGCACACGCATTCCACTTGGCTTTGGATCGTCACACTTCTCCACATACAAAGCACTGATGTTACTGTATGCAGTGGGAAGTCAGTGCAGTTAGACTGTGTGAATACACTGAGTATTTCTACCCATGGGTGAACATCTATCACAAATACATCCATGCATCTATTACAAGTACAATCTTAGTGAGTGGCACACCAAAGCAGCCACACCAAGGGGCTGCATGCACCATTTCAACCTTGACCTATGTGTAAGCAAAGAATTATTTTAGCAGCAAACACCACCACATTTTCATTTCTCACTGTAACACTCAACTGCTCTTTCAAGAATAAAATTGCTAGCAAATTATTTCAGTCTCTCTCTCTCTCCATGATTTTGGCATTATTAGGTGCACAGTAATGTGGCCGTTAGTTCAAATTCTCCTATGTCCAAACACACAGTTATAATATCATGCTCCTTCTTCATACCATTGTTAATAGAGATCCATCTACTCAACCCCCCAATTATTATCAGAATGCTGTTAAAAAGACTTGATCCCTTAGGTATGGTTAAGATTCATTACATTTTAGACCATCCTGTTAAGCCAAAAGCTTGGACAGAGCTCCTCTAAAACTGTTCCTCTCTGACTCCCAAAAGGAAAGATATAAATTGAGACACAGAATCAGCAGAGTTATGTTGATCAGCTTGAAGCAACTTCTCCCCCCTGGACCAGGCACACCATAAGAGACCACTGGTTCTTCAGGGGAATATCTGAAGTATCTATCAAATTGCCAGCATAGTTTTCCTCCCTGGTGCAGTCCTTTTTTATCCAGAACTGACTTTCTGCTAAGGTTCCCACTAAATGGTTTGGTTCCAGAAACCCAAGTTCAGGAGAAGGATAATCCCTAATGAAAGTCTCAAACTCCCACAAAAATGGCTTATTCCTACAAAACAATCAGCTGCACAGGTTGGCATTACTTGCTGCCTGCTTCTTCGAGGTGCTTCCTCTTTCCACTACACCATTCCACGGGCTAGGTAAATACACCTTCCTGTAAGGACTCCGAAACGTCACAGAAGTGCTGTGCTTGTCAGAGATTCCAGTTTATCACAAAGCAGTATTTAACATCAGTTTCTCCAGCTCAAAGGCAATGCAGAGCGAATGTTTACATTCAAAGCATCACCTCTGTATTGTGGCAGCAAGGAGAACAAACAGATGGATAAGCAGCAGCCCAACTGTTCTCCCTGTTTTTCAACAGCTCATACTGAGGAAGACTTAAAAGAGCACAATTCATCCTGAGCTAATTCCAAGCTTGCAAAGGGGTAGTGGAAGAATTTGCAAGAGAACACGTAAATCACAGTGTAAGATAGTCATCTCTTTGGAAAAGAGAAGCCTCTGCACTAAACCAAACCTTTCAATATCTGAACCAGTAACACAGTCCTTTAGAAAGCAGTTCAGAAAGCTAAGTAACAACTAACTACAGAACAACTCTCTTTTGCTGATGTGGCAATAATGGGCAACCAACTTTCCCCTGAAACCTCAAATGAAACGTTACCAATAAGTAACTTGCAAGCAAGTCAGCTCCTGTTCTCCTCCCACGTCCTCCATCAGCTTTTGCACAAGCTCAAACAGCACAGTCATGAAGAAGTCAGAAGCAAACTAAATAGTGCAAGACTGGAGTGGGAATGAAAGAACCTCACTGACCACTGTGATGAGCAGGCACCCCACCTGCACACTTCTCCTACAGGAGCACAGAAATAAATACCCAATGACCCTGGATGTGAGTGCTGGGGTAGTTTAAGGTCTGCACTAATTTGGCTAATGAATCCTGCCCAAGGCAACTGGCTTACAAACTCGAGTTTAGTAAATACTTACACGTGCTGTATGCAAACATACTGAACCTGAATAAACTTCATCACCAAGTTTCCAAGTGCAAATGTATATAATATTCCTTAATTCTGCTCCTAAAAAACCCTCAATTGCTCCCCCAAACTCTAGCCTGCACAAATTCTCTGAAAATAGATAACCTGAAGGTTCACAAGAAATGAACTACTTAATTAAATGAAACATAGCTTCAAACAAGCAACACTGAATTTGTTCCTCCATTAAAGAGGACTATAAGTTCCTGCATAGAGAAAGCAGTTAATAAATATTGACAGTACTATTAGTTAAGACATCAGACAAAAACAGATCAGATTCCTGACTTACTGTTTTTGTCTTCACATAACAACAACTCCATTTGGATGCTTGAAATTCAGCCTGCCTCAACATAAAATATTGCTTTTTACTTGCAATGTAGTATGGAGAAAGCAAACACTTTCAGCCTCACAACATTCAGATTACTGATGTATAGACTGTTGACTGTCACTGGTTTGTTCCAATGATCCACAATTGCTTCAAATTAGGCACAGCTGAAGACTGCTGCAGACGCATCCAAATGTAGGGTTGTTTCCATAACTTAATAGCACTTTGATGTCTGCCTTGCTGAATTCTTCACTGCTGAAGGAGGATCAGAGTCTTCAGTTTACAGCAAAAAACAAAACAAGGCAGTTATGAAGATCATGTAACACAGAGCTCTGAAGCCCAGAGCGGAGGTTTGCTGCAATATGGCAATCTGCTCCTGGTCTCTTCAGCACAAGCAGCTGCTGGAGCTGTTGCTCCCTCCTCTTCTGCATCTTCCTTTACCTCCCTGAAACCTTCTGCTTCTTGGAATGGATGCTCTAAAAGTTTCAGTACATTTCTTACCTAGAGAGAAAACACAGCACAGGTTATGAGAATTTAGAAAGTGAAGGCAAAATGATGCAGAGAAGAACTTCACACCAAAGAATCAGCAAGTATATTGTATTTAATGCATGAATTCCAGACAGGCCAAGTATTAAGTAGATGAACAACACACATATCAAATAAGCTGCAAACTGAAATTGTAACTGACTGAGTTTGTATTTGTATAGGATTCAAGCTCAAACAACTTGAAATGCAGGTATTAAATACAAGTTCTTACGTGATTCCTCAAAATAAATTAGTTTTCCCATACTCTGTATGCAATATTCCATGTGCTGAAGTCCACAGATGAAAGCTCTAAGTTTTAAAAGTTAATGCTTAGCACAGCAAGGAACAAGTATAAATTAAACCCCAACTGCCTCCCAAGGCAAACACCACCCTCAAGACACAAAAAGCAGGGTAAGTGTCTTATCCTGGGGTCAGCCTACAAAAGCTGCTGGTTCTGACTCTGATTTTTGATTCCATTATTTGATCTGCAGTCATTAAAATGACACCTTCTTCAAAAACAACAGAGATCTCCTAAAGAGTGAATTCTAAATCCCCTCCCTGCCTGAGATGCCAGGCTGAATTTCACCTAGCATGATGTCAGTCATCAGCAGCACCACGACACATCCACGCAAACCTAGGGGGGTTGTAAGCAGTAACAACATACCTCTGAGAAATCCCCATTTTCAGCCGCTTCTATGGCATTCTGGGCAATATAATTTCTCAACACATATTTTGGATTGTTTGAATTCATAACCTTCACACGATCAGCGTTCCAGGCATCAGCATCACCAACACTTTCCACTTCTTTTTGCAAACGGACTCTGAAATTAAGCAGGTGACAACAACTGGTTTAGATCAAGAATCACATGTAGAAATTGACACATTTCCTTGCTCTGAGAGCCTTAGTTTGCAGTTCATAACAAGTATTACATCACCCATAATCCTCTCAGTTTATAAAATGCCACTTCATTTAAAAGCAGCACTACAGACCCTCAGCAGGTCCTGACAAGGCTCGAGGAAGTGGCAGAGCACAGCCTTCATGTTCTCTCAAAGGTCAGATGGAGACACTGGTGCCTGGTCTGCTCTGCACTGCACCACAACAACCAACACTTTCAGGTCTTTTAAGTATTTCTATGATTTTTCATTGGTTAAAGCTTTTGATGTTCTGATAAAAGTGAAGGGATGCAACACAGTCGAGGCAGTTTGATCTACTTTTTATCAGTAATACTTGCTAAAACTCTCAACCCCACTGGACAACAAGATCACAGGCAGGTGAGGAAGGGAGTCCTGACCTAATCTACACAGCACAAACAACTCCATTAACAGGGTTTCTTTACAAAAAAGTCTTGTGCTAACACTTATTTTTTAGGCTTCGAACACTCTGGACATTTCTTTTATAGTTACTCTTCAATTAAGGACATTTCTACTTGTTTTCTATATTAATACACAGATTTTTCTTTCAGGAAAGAAAAATCAAAGGACAAAATGCTTAAAAGGTCAGTCAGTTGTAGTTACTGAGCACCTAAAAGTTCTCAACTGAAATCTGCCTCTTTTAGAATCAAAATCAACATTCTTGAAGCACTTTTAATAGCAGATTTGATGCTAGGTGATTTCTACACCCTCACCCTACCTCAAAATCCAGCAAACAAAATGCAAAGATGCCCTCTAACTTTCATGGCAACAAAGACACTGATCAGGGCAGTAAATAATATTCTGAGCTGCATGCCCTGCCCATCCCTCCCGACGTGTATTTGAGACAAGGTGTCTTTCATGACACATTGCTCCCAAGATGCAGAAATAAAATAGTGCTATGAGTACCCCTCACCCTACCTCAAAATCCAGCAAACAAAATGCAAAGATGCCCTCTAACTTTCATGGCAACAAAGACACTGATCAGGGCAGTAAATAATATTCTGAGCTGCATGCCCTGCCCATCCCTCCCGACGTGTATTTGAGACAAGGTGTCTTTCATGACACATTGCTCCCAAGATGCAGAAATAAAATAGTGCTATGAGTACTGAGAAGCCTTACTTTCTCCAGCTTTCCAGTGTCCTTTATTTCTGCTGAGTAAATCAGCTGCTGTTAACTGCTGAAGTTTAGAGAATTGTTCAATGCGTTCTAGTTCTTTATTTATATTAGCTTTTGTTCCAATTAATGCAAAGAGCTGTGGATTAGACTGAGCCAACATCAGCATCATTGACAGTTGTCTGGGAACAAAAAGAACAAACATGTTGGATATTAAAGTTGGTCAAGAACCATCTCTTTGCAACCACAAAGCAGGTACGAAAACATTCAAGACAAGCTATGATTTCACTAGAGAGATTAAGTAACAGATATTGGTAATTAACAATTTTTTTTTAGAAATTAGGCTAATGTTACTGTTCCTTCCCCTTTCTTCAGTGTATTTAATCCATATTCCTGTGGTATATAAAGTGCAGACAGTAGATTTTCAGAATTACCAGTTGAGTTTAGTTGTGGAATTCTCATCAAAATACCCTAGGAACTTTAAAAGTAATTTGGAATAAAAAAGCTGACCTTACTTAGCTATCAAGATAATACATAATTCATAAGTTTTGTTGTTTGGGGTTCTTTTAAATTTTTTTTCCTAACATTAATATTGTAACAGCATGTGGAATCAGCATCTAACACCTGCTAATTTTACCAGTACTAAGAAAAACCTAAATGGTATGGAGAAATACTTCATTTAATTCTCATGAGACAACACTGTGGGTTTTTTCAGTTTGCCAGGCTAAATCACAGAATGAGAACTGCTTTTTGGTAACGAATTGTGACACTCAAAATTTTCAGAGAAGGAAAAAACATTCTCAAAATGTCTATTTTTGCCCCATCTCCAAAATTGAGAAACTGCTTCAACCACTGTTATAAGCAGCAGCTGAACAAGGCTTACTATTTTTCCATGCTCAGAGTATGTGGACTGCAGCAAAAGTGGGACATGGAGCCCAGACAAGGACATCAGAGCCTAGAGTGGGCATTTAGGTTATACTTAGGCCAGAACCTTGGTGGCTAAAAGTGACTTTTTGCTGACAATACCTTAGCAGACCAAGGTAGCAGTATAGTTCAAACCCATTTCTGCTATAAAATACTTCTGTACCACTCTCATTGCCTCAGTCAGCAGAGACTGGAGGAAAAAGAAAGACCAAATGAAAGCTCAGACAACTTTAGAGTTGCAGCCAATTGCTGTGAGTCACTGCCGTAGATCATGATCCATCTACTTCACAGTGGCATTTCCAATTTTCTAATTTGTCAAATAAGACATAGCATACAGAGTTCATTATGGTTATAATGAAACTAAAAGCAAAGGCTAAAAGCATTTAAGTACAGAAAAGCATTACCTTGGATCCATCTGTGGTTTGAAAGCAACTTTTAGTTCTTCCACAGAAGCACACTGACTTGTAAGCTCTTCTAAGAAATCTTCATCTTTTGAAGGATCAGAGTCTACTGGGAATGAACTCATCAAGCAGAAAATATTTGTGAAGTCACCACCTGAAAAAGTGAATTCTATGAGTAAAGCAAGTAATAAATCAGCAAGGAAACAGGTCCCATACCTCCTTCCTACCTCCCCCCACAGCAGTACAGGTCACCACGCTGAAGAGGCAAGTGAACTGTTCCCTCAACAGGGGTGCAAATGTGAGACAGGAGCCCTGTATAAGGCAACAACTGCCTCACAGCTCAGAGTAAGGTAACTATTTTTCAGTCCTTTGTTCTTCTCTCAGATGACAATGTAGTTGCACAAGGTTGCTTTTTTGTAAGGTCTTGGTTTGATTATAGACACTGATGGGCTATATTAAGTAATAACCTTCTGTGCTCTTCACCAACCTGTGAGGTGCATGGTTTCAAGGAGTTCAGACACCAGCTTACTATCTTCTTGTAATTCCAACTGGATTAAGCCTAGTTTTTTCCTCATCTTCTGCAAATAATGTTTCTCAAACTCAGCATCATATTCCTCTTCCAGGATGAGTTCGCTTATTTCCAAGGGCAGCTCTGGAACTAGAGCTTCAGCAAGTTTTCCCAGGTTCCACTTGCAAACCTCTGGCTGTTTGTTGTAAGCATAGCGCCCTGTGTTATCAGAACCATTGCAGACATGCTCAGGGTCATACCTACAAATGGAAAAACCAGTTAGCATTCTTCTAGTTATCTGGACACCACTACTGTGAGAAGCACTACTTTTATTGTTTTAATCTGCTCTAGGAAATAAAAAATTCCAAAGGGAACACTCTTTGATTCTTTTCCCAAACTCAGAGGCTACAAGAACAGTCTAACAGTTAGAGATGTTGTGAACAACATTAAAAAGAAGTTGAAAAGAAGAATTGCAGGACAGCTAGAACTTAATCTACTCTGCCATAAAGAGAGCTCATAAAACTACTTTAGCATTAAAATATTAAAGCAATCACGAACATCAGGATTGTTCCACATAGCAAGTAGATACACACGTCAAATAATGTTGCCACACTGACCTGTCCATAAATCCAAAAGGGCCATAGTCAATGGTCAGTCCAACGATGCTCATGTTATCTGTGTTCAGCACACCGTGGCAAAACCCAACACACTGCCACTCAGCTACCAACCTCGCTGTGCGCTTTGTTATCTAGAAGAGGATACATTTTCTTCATTTTTCATCACAAAGTATTTCCAATACATTCATTATTTCCCAGCACTTCCTAATCTGAGCTGATGCTTCCACAGCTCTGATGCAAGCAGATTCTGGCAATGTGCCATACACACAAGTTAAAGACAGCGTGCCTCTCTCCTCCTGCTCATAACTGCCCTGTTTCTCTGTCTCCCAGTTCTGTTTGCCTTCTCTTCTCTCTTTCCAGGTTTGACTTGCAAGTCAACTAACAGCTTTAAAATGTGCTGGAGGCAGAATGCCGAAGGTAAACTGTTTGACACCAGACTTGCCTACTAGTCTAGTCATTATACAAATATGTTCTTTTTCTTATCACTAATTTTAAAGACTAACTACACACAGCACCTTACATAAGCAAAGTCTAAGAAATAAAATTAACTATGCTCAATGTAAAGTTACTCTTTCCTACACACCAGGTAAGCTGAGTGACTTACAGGAAGGTAAGTGGTTTACACAAAAATACAATTCTCTGCAAGCAAGTTTTAGCATAATAAGCAATTCCCTCAATTTGCTGAGAGTGGAAAAAAAGCTACAAGTTTAAGTAAAAATATTCTGAGAATGACAACTTTATTTAAATGCAATTCCTCACCAAACACATGCTGCACCAGAGCTTTTCTGCTGCTTAACTGAGAGCTACTTTTATGGAACCCTTGACTGCTATCACTGCATGTGCCCCATCCTTCAAATAAATAATGAAATATTTTAAAGCAGTCCTAGTTACTTAAACATATTAACCTACCTGTCAGCTACAACTACTCTGTGCTACGAAATCCAAAATTCAGGAAGCTAACCTGGTTTTCAAATAAAACTAGGTACTTCTAAATGCATGACTAAATTGCTGTAAGCAAAAATTGTATGTAGCCATTGCCTGAAACTTTTAAATCAAATTATTTTCATAGCTAAAATCACTCATCTTCCCAAACAGCTATCAATGTACAGAAATTCAAAGCAACTATTTGCTCCAGGCTGCAGTCTAAGTGTATTTCATTAAGGTTCAAAACTCTCTTGTTAACAGAGGAAATATTCGTTCTATGCCTCTGTCTTCAAACCCAGAATTTTTCTATCTTCCTCTTTTGAAAAACTTGTGCAGTCAGGTAAGGAAGAAAAATTAGACAAACTTGTCCTGACAAGTAGTGAAAACCACAAATGGTGCTTGGAACAGAAGCTTTTGGTGCACCTTGAGATCTCATGCCTCTACTTTTCACAATATTCTCAAGGTTAGTACTTTACTCACCTTTCCTGAGTGCTGGCTCACGGGGCCATGGGAAGCCAGCACTCAGCTACATGTGTCCAAAACTGATTACTGGCATGCCACAGACAGTAAGGGAGGCACACCCTGCACAAGGGCTCTGTGCCAGAAAAATGGGAAAACCTAAAAAACTCCTGACCATCAGGAAAGCACTCCAGTGGTAAGGCAGTTCCTAAATGCTGGGTGTCTTTGTCTGAATGCATCACACACTGCCAGTGCTCTGGTGAAAAAGAAATCCCCCTAATGAGAATGCCTGAAAGCAACAAAAGCCTGGGTGCCACTCAGAGATGGGAACATCAATTAGGAAGAGACAGCCTTGCGCTCACTTTGACCTTTATTCTTTTTCATCAGCATTTTTCTACTGTGAGCCAACCTAGAAAACAAGTATGGTGTATGTATAAATAATAGCACTGTCTGAAGGACACACTCATTTAAATTTAAACACCACCTAGAAATTATTTGAGAAGTACAGATAATGCTGTTTGCTTTCTGGACAGTGCTGTGAAATGCAATCACTTTTACTTTTTGTCTCCATTTCTTCCACAGTGCAAAAAGATAAAACACATCAGAGGTGAGCTGACAGCACTCCCCTGATATTAAAAAAGATGGATGTGTTTGTCAAATTAGAGAAGGGACTGGGGTGCTTTTCACGTGGGGAAAGGTCTGGAAAGTCTCCACTAAGGATGAGAGAAAACACAAGGAGGCAAGGAAACACAAGGAAAACACAGACATGGAGTGTGGACAGGCAGAGGCAACAAACAAACACACAGATATGGGGCCATGAGAGAAGGACGGCAGGAACTAGGGACCAGGAAGGAAACTTGCTCAAGAAAATACGTCAAAAGCAGGACTTGGCAGGACCAGGCACACACACACACATCCACAAAGATCCCCAAGTCTCATGGCTTTTCTGCCATCAGGAAGTAAACATGCCATCACAGCTACAGACCTGGGCATGCACACAGTGGGTGACAACCCACAGTTCTCATCAACCCCAATTGTTCAAACACAAAATGCCTGTCCTGCAGAGGTGAACTCTCTGGTACCCAGTAGTGAACCTAGTGAACCAAGTCACAGCTTGCTTCTGAAGAACTAATGCAAGTATGCGCAGGCTGTGTTACAGAAGAAAAAGAAAAAAGGCAACAAACCAAACCAGCAAACAAAAATACACACACACAAAAAGGCCCCATTCACAAACCAAAAAAACCACCACAAAGTGTAGAGAATGTCAGATTTTAAGCCTGCCTTCTGACCTCTTATTGGCCCATAATAAACATGCATCATGCTGCAGCCATTCCCTCAGTTTGGATCAGACCACTTCAGATTTTCAAAGCACCACAGCAACTTTTAGACAGACTAGTCAGGTATTATACACTGGTATTTTTTAATTATCCCGTCCGATGGCTAGTAACAGTGTTGAAGTGATTTGCAATCAACATTCCTGTCTGTAATTTGGAAAACGAGATACAGGAAGTGACTCAACAATTCTCAGTATTTTACAAAACAATGCCTTGCAAGTGATGCCTCAGTACCATCAAGTCATCATCTGACAGTCAGGGCCAGAACTTCCCCTTGCAGTCTAAGACACTCTCAGCAAATGGAGACAAGTCTTGGGAAGCTCCTTCAGAGCAGGGAAATCATGACCTACTATTAAAAAGGTTAAACCACTTTCATTGGTTAGATCAATAGCAACACTGCTTTCATCAATAAGCAGCTCTATCAAGAGTGCTTTCTTCAAAGAAAAGAATAGTTCAGACAATTAGATGATGCGAAGTATTAACCAACTCCAGTCACCTGTGCTTGCAGATGAAGTGCCTCAAGATGACTGCTACAGATTTATGAAGAGAACCTGATCTGCCTTACCTCTTTGAAGAAAGCAGCATTCCTCTGAACACTGTTGTCTGAATGAGCCTCCTGGATTTCTGGGTAGAAAGTGCTGATCACATAATCAAGCATCTGTATTCTAATATCATTTCTGTTCACGCTGGGGCCCTTGCGTCCAGTGTATTCATCAGGGGGTTTAAAAATTTCAAAAGAACCAAACCTGTTTCAAAATAATAAAAACATACCTTAGAATTATCTGATACTATTAAGTTTACTTGATATTACACGTAGTAAAAACATTTACTATTGTTGTAATAAGATATTTTCTCTTAAGTTTGACACCAATCCTTCAACTGACTGAGAGAAAAGACCTGCAAGACTCCTACACTGAACCTAATGAGGCTCAGAGACTCAGCACAAGGAAGTGCACATGTCCGTGTGTAACTAGACTGTCAGATCCAGACCCTAGCCAGTACTGAAGACCAGCTCCATCAAGTTACTCACAACCACTTCCACAGAAAAATTATCCTGAGTAAATACACAGAAATTGGACTTATTTTAAATACTAGATTGTACATCAAGCGTATCAGATTTCTTCAGATATGATATACACACAAGCACGTACACACATACACAGACACATTGCTTATACCTCACCTTCCTCTAACATTCTGTTACCTGACAGGGAGATGTACATTTTCCTGAAATGCCTAGTGGCTTCTGCTGGAGCAGGAACCTTGTACACTTCTCAGCCAGGGATAGTACACCCAAACACTGACAGTACTACGTTAGAACCAAAATTAAGGATAGCTCTATAATCACAGAACCACAGAATGTTAAGGGGTTGGAATGAATCTCAAAGATTATCTAGCCTCAATCCTCCCTGCCATGGGCAGGGACACCTCCCACTAGACCAAGCTGCTCAAAGCTTTATCCAGCCTGGCCTTGAACATCACACAGAGACAGATAAACCCTAGGGATCCTAGGCTGGTAGAAAGGAGTAAATTCTGCCAACTTAGGAAGATATTTTTCATGTTTATGCCTGCACAGGATACATGCTGGTCTTTTTAATGTTAGTAGTAGTGGTGGATTTTTATCCTTAGAAGTAGCAGAATTTGAGCATAGCAAAGACACCAGCTCATCCCATCTGCTGGGAAAGAAAAGCAGCTTCCCATAGCCCAGCAAAATTTTCAGGCCTCCAGAACAAGAAACACACAAACAGTGCTGCTAGGGAAATACACTTAAAATGGTATTTTAGAAGACTGCTGTGCTTAGCTTTAAAAAAGAGAAACAATCAACAAAATAGGCTTCTACCTTATAAACGTAGAGGCTATTCTCAGAACAACTGTACACCTTTCATTTTTTGGATTCCCATCATAAAATACGTCACGGACAACTTTGGAGTCAGACGTCACACACGTCCCAGCCCTCGTTGTTGGTATGCCCAGGTGAAACATCGCCTCGCTGCACAGGAACTCCCGAATGCTTGACCGCAGGACCTTCCGACCATCAGCTTGGCTGCAGCAACAACACATGCACAGTTTTTAGGCTCTAAAGGCACAAACTCCTGTCTCCTCTGCACATGCTCTGTCCACGGTCACACAAGAAAGCAATGTTAGATCTGAAAACAAAAGCTGGACCTTGGAACTTCTGTGAAAGCTCAGTTACACCGACACAACACATTTGCAATGAAGACCACACAGAAGAAAACAAACCTTCCAGTTGCACATATCTCTTCTAATCATTAACTCTGTTGGTTTCATTGCCGCAATAGTCTTACAAAAAAAATTTTAACATTTGGACAGCGTAGCTATTTTACTGTATATAAAGTCACTGATTTCCTCTTAATAAAATGAAATATAATGAAAAATATGATTCTGGATCTTTCTGGGTAAGGAATCTAACAACAGGATGTGAAAGATGGGCACGCATAGCAGCTGCATTTAAAACCTGAACAGACAGCAAATAGCAAACTAGCTTAATTAATAGGTAATAAGTAAAGGGAACAGATGCAGGTGGTTCTCAGCCCACACTCCCAGCACCTCCAAAGACACAAGCAAGCAGGAGAGCTGCCCAGAGCAGCTTTACCACCATATCTGAGATTTTCACTGTGATTTCCTCAACCTTCACAGACCTGAGGAAGGCCTTCAGAAGACCACATGCATGAAACTAAGGTGTTAGTGAGCCTGTGCATGGCTGGAATTGAAAATATTGGAAATCCAATTGGGAAAACATTGCCTGAAACATTCAAAGCAGCGCAGGGTAATCGGACTAAAGAAGATAACCCCTCCCTAGCAGGGATTTGATCAGTATGCTGTTCTGGGTTTTTTTCCACTATTCCCTCCCACAGCTGTGGAGGGAAGTGGACGCCCAGGTTTGCCCAGGGAGGGGGTGGATGTCCCACCCCCAGCAGTGTTCAAAGCCAGGCTGGATGAAGCCTTAAGAGACCTGGTCTAGCGGGGAGATGTCCCTGCCCAGGGCACAGGGGGTTAGGACTAGACGATTTAAAGGTCCATTCCAGCCCCTAAAGTTCTCTGATGGACCAGCAGCACAAGGAAACACCCACATTACAATACATTTGTGTGAGGCACAGGGCAGTAAGCAGACAGGTGGTTGTGTCACCCACGGTCCGTGTCCTCCAAAGGGAAAACCCGCACCGCAGGGTAACCAGAGGCAGAAGGAACATGCCACCCAAAGGAGATGCAGTTACAGTCTTGTTTTGCCATCTCCTGGTCTGGCATTTAAATACTACACTTGCCGCTGCCAAGACTGGACAAAAAAAACCCCGAGAGGGCTAAGAGTTGACCTCTGCCCCCGCAGCGCGGATAAAGGGATCAGCGGCCCGGGCAGCCCG